CTCTGAAGCCCTGAGCTCATCTCTTTCTTTCACCACTTTGTTTAGCGAAAGTAGAACCAACCAACCAGCTTCCTTATACTTCTCACTATGACAAAACTGTAGAAAGGTATCAAACATACAATCACTCAGAGCCTTGCCTTTCACCAATACCTGATCTATTGGTGGTGATATTTAGCGTATTTCAATTACCACCTCATGTCATGGATTAGCAGTGCCCTCTTTACTACTGGAAGCAGAGTCATCAACACCTTTAAGACTAACTAGACTTGAGAACCAATTTAGAAAATTCATCGTTATAACTGTGTTTCTCTAGAACCACTCTCAGTATGAAATGTCTTAGGCTAGGTTCTCTAGAGAAGCAAAACCAGTAAAGTATATAAATACATTGACAGAGATTTATATCAAGGAAATGGGTCACATGATTGTAGAGGCTGGAATGTCCCAAGTCCGTGGGTCAGGATAGAGGCCTCTCCTGATCCATGTAGGTGCAGAGGTCGGTGCATCCAAGATCAACAGGCCAGACAGCAGGGCTCCTGCTCACAGGCTGTGAAGATCAATGAATCCTAAGACTGGCAGGCAAGATGGCAGGCAAGTAGCTAGTTCAAGTCCCAAGAACTGGAGGTCAGATGAACAGGAGCCAACTGTAGGATCCAGAGTGAGCAAAAGCCTGTAAGTCTTGCCAGAGAGTCCACTTATATTCGATGCAGGCCACACCCCCAAGGAAACTCCCTTTCAACTGATTAGCCACTCACAGCAGATCCCATCATGGAGGTGATCACATTATATCAAATCTCATCATGGAAGCAATCACATCATCATACAACTGCCGAACTACATCATAACTGCCAAACCACTGAGAATCATGGCCCAGCCAAGTTGACATACAACCTTAGGGATCACACTCACCTATGAAACATAACTCTGGACTGTAGTTACATACATACCTAGTACAAAGGGATTTTAAAAGGCTGAAAATAAAAAGACGGGCAAAAGAATACCGAAAACTGCTTTATATCAGAACTTTTAGAGTTCAGCTAAAGAAATGCTCAGAGGAAAATTCACACCCTTAACAACAAGAATTAAGCACCTCACTCAAATGTCTAATTTAAGAAGAAAAATGATAGAATAAATAAATAAAAGAACTAATTCTTTGAAATGAAACAAAATTAAAAAAGAACTGTTAGATAACTTAATGAAATAAGAAATGACAAGGGGAAATAACCACAAACATAAAAGACATTGAAAAGAATCATGAGTGTTTATGTTCTGGGACAGGGCCTGGGGTGGCAGGGAATGGGGGTGGGGGTGAGGTGGGGTGGGATGGTAAGAATGACTGCAAAGGGACCTGAAATAACTTTTTGGGGTAACTGAAATGTTCTCTATTATGATTGTGGTAGTGGTTACATGGGTGAATACATTTGTCAAAACCCATCATTAAAATGGGTGCATCTTCTTGTATGTACCTCTCAAAAGACTCCTTGACTTCTCAGGAGCCTGTTACCACATCTGTGCCCAGAGGGCAACACCAAAGCACTCACACCACCAGCCTTCCTTAAGTAATGAAAACCTGGTTAGAGTTGTGTTTTCCCATTTGCTAATGGATCTCACCTTCTATAAGATGGAATCAGTTCATCCCAAAGCCTCTCAGGCCTTCCTGTCTACCCCTGGTTTGAATTTCTGCTATAGTTGTGCCAATGACTGCTAAGAGTTAAGAAACATCTAAGGGTCATGCTCTCACAAACAAAGACTTTTATTATGACAAAGATACAGAGTAGTGACTGTAAAAGTCTAATATATTTAATATGTACACTATACAGTATCTTAAAAAGGAGAACTTGGGGCACTTCCTACTGTATTGTGCTGTATCAATAAAGAGAATCATGGTCCCTTCAGATGATTTTGTTGTTGTTGTTTTAACATGCACATTCTTGAACTTCTTCATCCTTATTCTCCTTGACATCAGCTACTCTGTCAAATCCTGAAAGCAGGCATATAAAGAATATCACAAACACAAAGAATGTTCTCAGCAATTACAGATTTAACTCATGGCCTTGGGAAAGGAGGAGGTGTTCTGGGTCCCAAGTCAAGAACTATCCTCTTTTCTCTCTTTTTTCTTGTCCCACATCTTACCATTTACCTTCACAGACACTGCATTGTGACTTCTAAGCCCTTCTTTTCCCTTTAGTGGCCATCCAGTTACTCCAAGGGAATGGCTTAGTTGTTTAAGCTGGGGCCACGGAAGACCTTTCTATGACTAAAGGTTATAGATGTTGAAACAGGGCTGAAAGGGACTGAAGAAGTTGCTCTGGTTAAGAATCTAAGGGACTCCTGTCTGCCTAGGCTGGGTCCAGCACCAGTGAGAGGACTATAATTGCTGCTGGAGCAAGGACTAACTCCTTACATCTGTGTGTCCCTTTCCTTTAGAGGTACAGCCTTTGGCTGCTTGTGACTAAGAATCTGAGAGTATTCTTTATGACTCTCAGACAAGGGTTCCAGGAAGGAATACTTACCCTGTATTCCTAAACGTCCTTCATAAGTGTTGTTATCCTCCACGAATTCTCCCTCTGTCCAAATCTTGGTCAAGCAGGTGTCAAAGGGTCTTAACACGTTAGTCAAGGGCATAGATTCTCTCTTTCCACATCTCATTACAGATGCTTTAAGCTCAGAGACCCACTGGTGATAGACAGGGCAGGTGACACATCGAGAGAAGAACTCCTTAAAGTACTGAAAGGAAAGGAAGGCCCATTTTTGCTCAGGGATTTGCACTGCTTCCCCTATCTCCGTCAGAACTTACAGCAGTCTTCACTCAGTATACTCACTCAGGGCTGGGGGGACAGGGAGGAGGTACTGACAGCAAAGTGAGCCCAAAAAGCTGGTTCTAGGATACAGAGGAATTGTAACGTGTCTTTTAGGCTCAGAAGACAGGGCTGTAGGGAGATGTGTAAATTACAGACTGAGCCATAGAGCGGGTCCACAGAGAAGAGCTAAATGGAATTTGGCAGTAGCTGTGCAAAGGGGGAAAGTTAAGGGATCCAGTCCTGACCCAGACTCAAGACTATGTGGGAGGATAGGTCACATAGGTGGAAAAGACTTTATATGCATAGATGGAGAAACAAAGGGCTCAAGTAGGAAAGGGAGACAAATCCAATGAAGAGAAGAGTAAGGGACAGATGCAGATGGTAGAAAGAGTAATAGAGAGTATAATCAAATGAGTTGCTAGCTGAAGGACAGCGGAGAAATAGGTACCTTGAGGGTCTGGCTGCGAGTCTCTAGGGGGATGTGCATGAAGATACCCTTTGGCATTCTGTGTAACATTAGCACCTGGCACTCTAGGAATCGAACAAAACCATGTGAACCAAATAATGAGGCATTGGTTCTTTCCACCAACTGGCGAGCCTTGGCGAGGTGGTATTCGAACAGGTCCCACTGTGAGTCCTGGGCAAACCTGGAGGGAAAGAGTTACAACTCTCAGTCCTATCCCCTGCTTACCAAGCATGGCTTTTTCATAAAATTGTCACTTCTTTAAGGCTCTAAGACCTCCTGAAGAGTCAGAATTGTAATCCGGGGAATTCACATGAAAAGAGACTTAAAAAGAGACCAGTGATATTCAGCTTTGCCATAGGTTACTCTAGCACTTAAATGTAACACTCACCCATTCAAAAGATTACTGTATCACTTAAACTTAACTCTCAACCTGCAGAACTTCATCTTCAATCTAGAGAACCTTCTAGTAAGATAGGAGGGCATGGGCGGTGAATGGCCTTTAAAAGTAAGTTAGGCATGCTGAATTATCCTGCCTGGAAGGCTAAAGGAGATAGCTTAAATGATCTCAGGGTGTCCTTAAATGTCTACCCTTCCCCACAGACTCTGAGTGAGACTCTGGTGCCCCACATTACCACATGGCCAGGGAGGAGTGGACCCCCAGCATGACATTGCTCTGAGAGGTTAGAACACAGCTGTGCTCATAGTGCTGAATGAAATGCAGACATTCCCCGAAGGGTCGACACAGCAATCCTGTAGGCAGAGAGGGTAACCAGGCTAGTTTATGTAGTCAAGGCAGGAACTGGGTATAGAAGGTATGTGGCATGGGGAAGAGGAAACAAGACCTGAAGGGCAGACACCCCTGAACCACTCTGAACCACAAAGTGGTTCCTAGTCCTTAAGGAACCATGGGCTTCAGCCACGCCTGAGCGACAGCTCATGACTGCCTGTGTTTCACACCCAGGGCACCATCTGAGGTCTGAGTCACTCAGGAGTACAGCAGACCCAGGACAAGATTTACCTTTTCCGTAGAGTAGCAGATCTAAGCAAGCAGAATAGAAGCAGGCCAGGCCAAGGACATCATGACTCTGGGAAATGAGCGCCCACTGGTTCTCCAGAACATGGACACACAGATCAAATCTGCCGAGAGACAGAGCCACTGGGACCAGTGATGGAGTAGGGAGGATGATGCAGTAGAGGAGGGGCGCCTAATAGCCTAGACCTCCTCTACACAGCTCCATCTATACAAGGAGCATCTGTACCTGGGAACATCTGTCACTAGTCAAAAACCAAAACCAAACCAAACCCGTTGCTGTCGAGTCAATTTTGGCTCACAGCGACCCTATAAGACAGAGAAGAGCTGCCCCATAGGGTTTTAAAAGAGCAGCTGGTGGATTTGAACTGCCAACCTTTTGGTTAGCAGCCGAGCTCTTAACCACTGCTCCAAAGGAGGGGGGAAAATGCCTGAGACTGTTTCCAGGGTCGAGCTGCTCCAATTCCCCACCTCCCTGCAGAAAACAAAAAAAACAAAAAAAAAAAGGAAAGAAAGAAAGATTTCCCATGAGGCACTGAAGAATATGTAGCAGCTCTGACTGCATTTCCATACCCGACCCCACACACTTAATACAATGCTTCCTGGGGTGGTGAGGGACAAGATGACCTGATTGTGGAAATGGAACAGCATCTCCTTCTCCACCCCAAACTTCTCTGGGAGAACATACCCACCCCTCTTAGACAACAAATACAAATGACAGAAAATGATCTTAATACTTCTTCTTCAGAAATGCAGATCTGAAGAGAACTGACAGAACCAGATTCTCCAGAGCTGGTTTCTTGAAGTGTCTGCATATCTCATAGGCTTGAAAACCTAAGGAGGTTAAAGAGCATTGAGTGAGATCTAGCTGTGAGCCTGGACTCTCTAAAAGCCCTAGGCACACCAGACCCAACCACCATTACCCAGTCTAATGGAGAAGTCAAGATGGCCGAGGCAGAGTTTGGTGTAGGCCAAGGCCTGCATGAGCTGGGCTGTGGCCAACAATTCCTCCCTGGAGAACCAACATACGCTGCTCTTCTGAATGGCCATCTTCTCAGAGTGCAGCCACTTCTCCCTGTCACCCATGCTTTGTGAGTACTTGGAGAGGTCCACATAGGTAGAGATAACCTGTGGAGCAGCACACATGGGCAAAATATCCCCACTGTACTTTCACACTAGATGTGCATCTTGCCCCTTTCTTGTGTCGGAGCCCACTATGGTGTCCTGTTGCTCACCCAATCTGAACGCTTGGCGTACCTACCACTTGTCTCTATTCTAGCTATTAAAACATACTCCTCCTAATTTGATCATTCTCACAAGAAGATCATTCCCATCTTGAAACAAATCACTTTTTCTACTTGCCCCTCTCCTTCCTCTCTAATTCAAGACTTTCTCCTTCGAAACACTCGTCAAACTGTACCTCTTCTGTGTTTTCTCGAATTAAAGCTTCTGATTCTTCCTTAGAACTCTTCAGAACTGCTGCCTAGAATCTCTATTATAAGTATAGCTAGTTGATAGCTCTCTTCTTCTTGAAACACTATCTTCACTAGGTTTCCAGGACACCATGGTCTCTTGGTTTTCCTCCTACCTTCCTGACAACTGAGACCTGGCAAGAGGTTTCAGTTTCTTTTGCTGGTTTCTCCTCATCACCCTGACCTCTTAGCAACGGAGATTTTAACTCAGTCTTTGGACCTCTTCTCTTTTCTACACTCAGTCCCTTGGTGACCTTGGCTCAGGTTCATGGTTTTAAATATCATTTACACACTGAGGAATCCCACATTTCTATTTCCAACCCACACCTCCTCCCTGAACCCTAGACTCGTATATTCAACTGCCTATTCAACATCTCCACATGGATGTCTAATAGGCATCTCAAGTTAAACATGTCCAAAACTATGCTCCCAAATTTCTCCCAGATATGTTCCTCCTGAAGATTTTCCCATCCCAGTTAAGAGCATCTCTATCCTTCTAGAAGCCCAGGCCCCAAGTCTTAAAGTTATCCTTGACTTTTCTTTTCTCACATTCCAGAACTGATCCATCAGTTGCTCCAAATGCCTCTTGCTTAAAGCACAGATAATCCACACAGTGGACAACTCAAATATTCCCTTTGGTGTTCAAGTGCATTATACACATTAGGTTTACTCTCCTAACCAGATTATTTTAAGGTTTACATGAAAATATATATACTGTAATGAGCAGAGGACATGGATGGACATTTCATTGAAACATATGTGACCAATAAACATATAAGAATGTTTTTGTATTAGGAAATACATATTAAAGCACCAAACAACTTTCATGTATAGATTACCAAGTTTAAAAAGGCTGATAATCAGCTCTATCTTCACAAAAGGCCACTCTTCGCTACCTCTACCACCACTGCTGTGGTCCAAACCTCCACCATCTCCTGCATGTATTACAGCAAGAGCCTCCCAACTAGCCTTCCTGCCACCCTTGACACCCTCTTGATTTTATTCTTAATATAGCAGCCAGAATAATCTTATTAAAATGCAATCTGACCCTGTTACTCTTCTTTTCAGAACCACCAGTGGCTTCCCATCCCTTTTAGAGTAAAATCTAAAACCCCTACAGTGGCCTATAAGGCCTGCACCATCTGCCGTCCCAGCTCTCTCCAATCTCTCTGATCTCCTGGTTGTCTCCTCTCTTCTCCCTCCCCTCAAATCACGACGGCCTCCTCACTGTTCATTAAATACAAAGGGCATGCCTTATGCATTCACTGTGTCCTCTGCCTGGACACTCTTCCCCAGATATCCATGTGGCTCACTTTCTCACCTCCTTCAGATATTTGCTCAAATGCCACCTTCTCAGTGAGGCTCTATCTGACCACCTCATTTAAAACTGCAACTCCACCTCCCAGAAGCCCATATCCTTCTACCTACATTTTATTTTTCTCCACTGCATTTACTATTACCTAACATACTATATGTTTTACTTATTTATTATCTATTTTCTCAGTGCCAAGATCAGTGCCTGGCATGTAACTGTTGTTCATCAAATATTTGTTGATGGATAGGAGAGAGGAAAGAGACAGAGACAGATACAAAAATTAGGAAGACATACTTTCTTCTTTTTTCCCTAAATCAGCAATTCTAATCCTTCTAGAACAAGGACTTCTTTGAGAGCTTGACAAAAGCTATGACCCCTTTCCTACCTCCCCAAAACCAGTTGCCATCAGGTCGATTCCAACTCATGACAACCTCATGTGTTTCAGAGTAGAACTGTGCTTCATAGGGGTTTCAATGGCTGTAATCTTTTGGAAGTAGATCCCCAGGCTTTTCTTCCAAGGCACCTCTGGGTGGATTTGAACTGCCAACCTTTTGGTTAGCAGATGAGCACTTAACCATTTGTGCCACCCAGGGTGTTCTTTTGAACATACCCACAAAATTCTGTATTCAGTTCAGGGAACTCACGATAACCCCATACATGGAAACCCATCCATAAACTCCAGATTGAAAAGCCCTGATCAAACACATAATCAGTGGTGTCCAGTTAAGCCTGGGTTGTTGTGGAACCATGTTAAAACCAAGAACTTGGCAGGGTCTCTCTCCCCAGCACTTTAGGTTCCTGAGCCAGGTTCAGAGGTAAAGCAAGGACTTGCTCACCTGAGCTTCGTTTGCAAACTCCTCAGCTGAATTCTTCTGCATGAGAGTGGCCAGGTAGGCAAACCTGCGATTGCTGGCTGTGGCCTCCATGTTATAGAGCTGCCAGAGCAGGGAGAGGCAATGCAACCGTTGCTGCAGTACTGCCAACTTCTTCTTACTGTTGTGAAGTACAGGATGGTAAGCACACCCTTATGCTGCACCACTCCAGCTGTGCCTCCCCACAAGAAATTCAAGTCCACCCAACACAGGGCCATCTCCAGACTTTCAAACTCACAAATGCTCCTGGGATCCCACTGCTTCTAACCCCATATGCCATTTTAATTCTTCCCTCTTGACCAGGAAAAGTTTAAAGAGAGGTTTTTAAAAAAGTTAATTCTCTGAATTTCTATTTTGGGTGAATGTATCTCCTATAAATTATTATAGCTTAATCATTAGGTGGTAATTTAATGTTATTTCTCTGCTATATATATGGATAGTTATATGTATATTTATGCATGTGTTGATAAACAGATATACATATATACATACACATATATGTATCTTTATTTGAAAGACATAGGGTAACACTATTCTCCAAAATCAAAAGGAGTCCTCATTCTCCTATATTTAACTGGCTAGGGAAGTAAGGTGGAAGACCTAGAAATGTTAATGGTATGTGCTTGAAAAGAGAAGTTTTAGGTAAATAGAAGCAAAGCTCCAGGCTGGGTCCTAGTTGAAGTGTAATGCTCTGTGGCCCTAAAGGGGACCAGGGGAACTTGGCCTGGCTTCTCACTTTTCACTAGAGTTGTTTGACAGTTGGCTCAGGAAACAGGAATGCCAATATTTTTCCAGGAATGTTTGGAAAAGGACACCAAACCAGGTCCAAGGGAAACTCCTTTTCAGCAGTCGAAGGGCTTGCCTAGCCAATTTTTTGGCCAAGGTGATCTGTCCCATGTTGAAACAGACCTGGAGATGGTAAAATGAAAAATAGTAATGTAAATGCGGGAAGAGTACACGGACACGGTTCTGAATATCGCACATTGGTTATTTTACTTTGGGACGTGTAGTTGAGGTCACTGAGGTGCTGGGGTGAGCTGGTTTGGAGCAGAGCAGCAGTCACACTAACAAGCACCAGCAGGGCCATAAGCAAGTAAAGGGGTGAGAAAACAGAATGATGGATAAGGTACCCTCCTTTCTCATATTCCACACATGTGGCAGTGAGCAGTAGAGAAAGTTGTGATTTAGGAAGAGATGCTGCTAGAGTAGGATGGGATAGTCATTTAGATAGAGACTCAGATGCTCTCATATGCCACAGAAACAATCTGAAATATCACCAAATCCCCCGTTTCTCTTCCTTAACCAGTCGAGCCACCACAGCTGACATGGGTGGGGGTTGGGCAGGTAATCATAGATCTTCACGTTCAAAGGCTCAACCCAGGAAGTAATAATGTTTATGTGATTCCAGAATACTCTTGAGAAGCCTGCACAATAACTTCTTATAAAGGGAAAGAAATTTTTATTTCACTTTGCTCCAAAGACCTCTTGGTTAAAGCACAAATAATGCAACACAGTGGACAACTCAAATATTCTTTTTTGTGTTCAAGTGTATTATACACGTTAAGTTTACTCTCTTAGTTATCCAGTGCTGCTATAACAGGAATACTAAAAGTGGATGGCTTTAACAAAGAGAAGTTTATTTCTTCACAGTAAAGTAGGCTAAAAGTCCAAATTCAGGGCATCAGCTCCAGGGGAAGGCTTTCTCTCTCAGTCGGCCTTCTTCTCATTAGTGTTCCCTCAGACTAGAAGCTTCTCTGTGCAGGGACCCCAGGTCCAAAGGACACGCTCTGCTCCCAGCACTGCTTTCTTGGTGGTATGAGGTCCCTGACTCTCTGCTCACTTCTGTCTTTTATATCTTAAGAAATTGCCTCAGGACACAATCCAATCTTGTAGATTGAGTCCTGCCTTACTAACAACGGCCACCCATCCTCCCTCATTAACATCATAGAGGTGGCATTTACAACATATAGGAAAATCACACAATGCCAGGAATCATGGCTCAGCCAAATTGATACACACATTTTTGGGGGGACATAATTCAATCCATGACACTCTCCTAACCAGATTATGTTAAGGTTTACATTAAAATAAGTTTATATATACTCTGATGAGCAGAGGACATGGATGGACATTTCACAGAAACATAAATATATATGACCAATGAACATATGAGAATATTCTTATTAAGAAATACATATTAAACCACCATATAACTTTCATTTACAGATTACTCTCATTTATAGATTATCAAGTTTGAAAAGACTGATAATATCTGATATTGGCAAGGATATGAAGAAATAAGACAAATCAAATTGATATAATATTTTTAGTAGGCAATTTGGCAATATATTTATTAAATGTAAGATTATCCGTATCTTCTGCCTTAGCATCTCCATGCCTTGAAACTTCTTTTACAGAAACATTCTCACAAGGGAAGAAAGAGAAATTTACAGGAATATTCACTGTAGTAATATTTATAATAACCAAAAATTAGAGACAACCTAAATGCACATGAAGGGAAGAATGGTTATATAAACTATGATATATCCACTAACAGAGTACTTGCAGCTGTTAACTGTGTGACAGATGAGTACACCGATATGCAAATATATGCAATCTGTACTAAGAATGAAAGCCAGGTGCAGAAGAGAATGCAGAATAAGATCCTATTAAAAATAATTAAAATAATGATATGACTGTGTGTGTACAGCTGGTGGAATATGCACCAAATTACTAATTATGATATGAATTTATCGGGGACTCTTCCTGGCGATCTGCTCCCGTAAAGATTACAGCCTAGGAAACCCTATTGGGTAGTTCTACTCTGTCCTATAGGGTTGCTATGAGTCAGAATTGACTCAATGGCACACAACAACAACTCTCTACACTGTATATTCCTCTGTTTTGAATGTGTATAACCTTTTATCACATTTATAATCGCAGATCAAAAAACAAAAGATTAAAAAAAAAAAAAATAGGGTAACCCTCAAGGGGAAATAACCAAAGCTTCAAGGTCATCATCCCCTCCCTCACCTCTGATCGAAGACTGCAGAAAGTGGCCTCCTCAAACTGACAGATCTTCACCTTGTGCTTCTTTAAGAATGAGAAGGCTGAGGGTTGTCCCAGAAGACTGCTTGCCTTCCTCAAGTAAAAGAAGGCCTCCAGAGAAGACAGATAGGTGGTAGGGATGAAGAAACTGGATTAGGATTAGGATGCTGCTGGGGGTGAGATTAGGGCAAGGGCTGGAGTAAGGTTATGATGATGGTCAAGGTTAGAATTTGAATCAGGGTTAGATTTAAAGTTAGAAACAGGAGCTGGGCTCCTCATGCAGGTGTCAGAGGTAGGGCTGGTAGTGCTTGGTGCTTTCACTGCCACATTCCTGTTTCATGTTTTTTCCTAAATCCCTTCCACTTCCTTTCTCCCTCCCACTTTCCTCTACTCCTCAATCAAGGCTACTTGATAGAAAGAAATCCCAATCAAATTCCCAAAGCAAAAGGGCTCAGCTCAGGGGAGAGAGCAGAGCTTGCTCACCATGTAATTATCTGCCAGGTCCAAGGAGGCAGCAGCAGCCTCTAACAGGTAATAAAACGCACAAGTGGTTTCTCCAATGACCAAGCAGTGCTGGGTGAGGGGTGAGAGCACTAACTTCAGAATTTCTGCACAGTGGCAGGACTTTGCAGCCAACATGTCTTTCTCAGGGCTGGTCTGAGCCAACATCCTGTTCACTCGATCCAGGAACTCTTCCTCTGTCCTTTATGGAGAGAAGATGAAGAACTGAGAGTGGCCACAAAGCTAACACTTTTGTCAGAGTATTACCAGGTCTCAAAGCCATTTCTTCCAGGGAGCTTTCCTGTATAATTCATTAAATTCTATGTCTATCCCTCTCTATCACTCTGTAAGTTTTTGAGAGCCAGGAACCAGACCTTTAACTGCAAAGCTCTATTAGGGATTTTTAAAAAAACCTAAAGCCAACTCAAGTTCTCACAATCTAAATGGGAAAACACCATACTTGAAGAGTTAAATAAAAGCATAAAAATGACACAAGGAAATAAAAACATTTTTAATTAGCATATTTGAATTCTCTAATAGAACACTTGTATATGACTTTATATAACACCTCACCTGATTACTTCACCTGATCCTACAATAATTCTGCAGTTCAGGCAGGCAGAAATTATTATCTCCCTTTTACAGATAAGTAAATTGAGGCTCAGAGAGACGAAGTGATATGGCCTCACAGCTAACTGAGAAGTACAACCAAAACTAGAGCTCAACTCTTCTGACTACTACTCCAGTGTGCTTTTCACAGGTACCACGAGATAGGACCTCTCTGAGCTAGAATAGAGCTCAGGTGGGAATGGAAAAGTGGCAACCAAGGAGGGCCCTGAAGGACAGTGAACATTCTGATAAGTGGAGGGAGGTGAGGGTCATTCGGCATTTTAAAAAGGGAGAGTTGTGTGACCAAAGACACATACAGGTGAGAGGGGGTGGTTCACGTCAAATAGATTTTTGTTTGAAAACAGTAGGAAATCAGGTTGAATAAGTGAAACAGGTAAACCATATATAGAATTGATGGCAAACCCAAAGCAAGGACATTTAAAATTGATGGGATAAATAACAGAGAGATAGGAGGTACATCGGAAACAAATTCATTTTGATATCATCTGGGGCTGAAAGCATCCGAGAAGGCAAATTTATAGCTGAAAAAAAAACCAAAACCTGCTATGTGTACAATACATTTGAAAGCTTTTAAAGTTTTTCTTAACCACTAAGAAATAATTTCCCTACAGAGAACTGACTTTCCAAATCTTCTCTGTTAACTTGAATTCTGGGCTGAGGGTGAGAATCGCTACTCCTGGGTGGTAGATACCCACCCTGGTCTGTGGATAAGATGTGTGCCCCCAGTATGATGGTCATCTGTCTCTCAGTTTCTGGCTCTTCCATGCCCACCCTCCCCATCTCCATCTACCTGCAGTAATCACTTGAGAAGGTCTCCTGCCTGCTGAACGGTTTTGTCTGGAACTGAAAACTATCTGTAGGGAGAAAAACATGATTATCTTTAATTATCCATGTTTGGATTACCTGAGGACATTTTAAATTCCTGACCACCTTTCCTCCATAGCTCAGCTCATGACCTACCTGCCTTTGCCATTATAAAAATGACAAATGGGTTTAATACTAGCCTACAAGGCAAAATTACGATGGTAGATTGCAAATTCCTTAGTGGCAACTATCTGTGATCCAAACAGTTGCTGTTGTTAGGTGCTGTCGAGTCAGTTCAGACTCACAGCAACCCTATGTACAACAGAACAAAACACTGCCCAGTCCTGCACCATCCTCACAATTGTTACTATGTTTGAGCCCATTGTTGCAGCCACTGTGTCAATCCATCTCGTTGAGGGTCTTCCTTTTTTTCGACAACCCTCTACTTTCCCAAGCATGATGTCCTTCTCCAGGGACTGGTCCCTCCTGACAACATGTCCAAAGTACATGAGACGAAGTCTCACTATCCTCACTTCTTCCAAGAAAGATTTGTTCATTCTTCTGGCAGTCCATGATACAGTAATCCCTCCCTTATTCGCAGTTTCACTTTCCACAATTCCAGTTACCCACAGTCAACTTCAGTCCAAAAATGTTAAATGAGTACGGTGCGTGATGAAATCTCCTGCCATCCCACTCGGTCATTCATGCAACTTTTTATTATTTTTATTTTTATTTTTTTATTGTACTTCAGGTGAAGGCTTACAGAACAAATAGTTTCTCATGAAACAGAAGTACACATATTATTTTATGACATTGGTTAAC